CCCTTGGTGTCAAATCTAGCCAATCACAAAGCTCCTCTTGCCCCAATTCTGCTTCCTGTTGAGCCCACCAACTACTTTATGTGTGGACATTCCTTCCTTTGAGGATGTAAAGGACAATGGGCGGGTAATGTGGAGGCCTCTGGCATGAAGTGGGGTGCAAGATGACGGAGGGTTCAGTGGAGGTAGAGACTTGCGCCCTTGGTGTCAAATCTAGCCAATCACAAAGCTCCTCTTGCCCCAATTCTTCATCCTGTTGTGCCCACCAGCTACTTTATGTGTGGACATTCCTTACTTTGAGGATGTAAAAGACAACGGTGGGTAGTGTGAAGGCCTCTGGCATGGAGTGGGGCACAAGATGGTGGATGGTTCAGCGGGGGGTAGAGACTTGTGCCCTTGCGTGCCAAATCTAGCCAATCACAAAGCCCCACAAGATGGCGAAGGGTTCAGCCTCAGCAGGGGAGGACAGTGTTCAAGCAGCAGAGGCCAAATCTAGCCAATCACAAAGCCCCTCTTGCCCAAATTCTTCTTCCTGTTGTGTCCACCAGCTACTTTATGTGTGGACATTCCTTCCTTTGAGGATGGAAAGGACAACGGGTGGGTAGTGTGGAGGCCTCTGGCATGGAGTGAGGCACAAGATGGAGGAGGGTTCTGCGGGGGTAAAAACTTGCGCCCTTGGCACCAAATCTAGCCAATCACAAAGCCCCTCTTGCCCCAATTCTTCTTCCCCTTGTGCCCAGCAGCTACTTTATGTGTGGACATTCCTTTCTTTGAGGATGTAAAGGACAGCGGGCGGGTAGTGTGGAGGCCTCTGGCATGGAGTGAGGAACAAGATGGCGGAGGATTCAGCAGGGATAGAGACTTGTGCCCTTGGCATCAAATCTAGCCAATCACAAAGCCCCTCTTGCCCCAATTCTTCTTCCCGGTGTGCCCACCAGCTACCTGGTAACTCTTCCATGCAAGAAAGAAGAACCCCAACTGGTTGCCCAAGCACTACTGAAGGACAATTACATCTGTGAAGGCTGAAAAGCGACGTAGGCTTGGAGCCAATTCCCCAGAACAAAGCTCCTACCACCATTCTATATCCGGTCCCCCAGGAGCGCCGCGATGGTCTATTGTACAGCGCTGAGCAAACCCTTTGGCGCTATATAAACTCAATGTAATGTAATGTAATGTGGCGTGAGCCTTTATTGTATCCGTGGCATCTAGCCGCCCCTCCCCCCCGAGCCTTCTTTTCTCCAGCCCAATGTTCCCATGCGTCCTCCCCACTGATTTCACAAGGTAGGTGTTAAGCTTTCCTTATAATTATTGACAAAAGACAACAAATTGAAATGCCGGCCGGGCTTTACACGGCTTCTAAAAATACGCCGACGCCACGCTGGGGTCTGCTTACGGTATGTAAAGCACAATTAACGGCGAGGAGCGACCGAGCGGGGGGGGGGGAGGGGGGGATAATGATAATTATAGATTCAACACAGCCGTGTGAGAACAGAAGGTTTTGTCGCCACGTAATCACATTTCCAACAAAAAAAAAAGTCAGGAAATCAAAGTAACCGTGAGCCATTTCCTTGCAAAAGACAAAAAAAAAGGTGATATTTTAACCCCTTCCTGTCTCTTTAAAAAGTTGAAAACGCACAGGAAATGATCGGCGGTCATGTGACTCCTGAGATTGGCCGTCACGGGGGGGGGGGGGTCACATGATTGGGAGCCGGTGCCCGCCCACTCTTTTGCCGGCCGTGTGTTGAACGTGAGGTTAGAGCCAGAAATAGGAAGAAAACATGGAGCTGGCCACGAAAGCTCCATTCACACTTGTGCAACTTCATAATCGCACGATTTTCATTGCGACTTTACGGTGCAACTTGACGCGACTTTGGAGGAGTTCCACTTTGGCTTTGACCAAGGATAACTGATTGTGCTCTACAAAGTCACATGCAAGTCGCATGTATATCATTCAGGTGAGACTCTAATGCAACGTTGCAGGGTTTATATTGGTCCACAAGTCGCATTTATATCATTCAGGTGCAACTCATGCAACTTTGGAGCAGGGGCGGGCTGACCATTTGGAAACTCGGGCACTGCCCGAGGGCCCGGGGTCAGTAGGGGGCCCCATGAGATGCCCCTGGTACCTTTTTCATAGGCTTTTTTGAGTGTGGGCAAGGACACAGGGGCCCCATGATCCCCTATTGCCCGGGGGGCCCCATGAGTTGTCAGTCCACCCCTCATTCCAGCCCAACCAGGGGCGGACTGTCCATTTGGAAACTCAGGCACTCCCCAAGGGCCCGGGGTTAGTAGGGGGCCCCATGAGATGCCCCTGGTACCTTTTTCATAGGTTTTTTTGAGTTTGGGCAAGGACACAGGGGCCCCATGATCCCCTATTGCCCGGGGGCCCCCATGAGTTGTCAGTCCGCCCCTGCTTTGGAGGGTTTACATTGGCCCACAAGTCGCATGAAAGTCGGACCAAAGGAGTGCACGAACTATTTTCAAGTCGCTGCGACCTGAAGTTGCACAGGTGTCACCGATTCTCATTGGGAACATCGCGTCTATGCAGTTTGCTTTTGATCCGTTCCCGGTGCTTTTTTGTGGTGCGCTTCGTGTTTTTTGCACTTGAGTTTTGCCTTTTTAAAGCCATTTTTTTCTTTTGGACAATTTGTCGTCGGGCGGATTATGCAAAACAGCGCAGATATATAAATAAATATACACTCCAGTAAAAAATTTAATAAATATTAATTAATAAAAAATATATAAAAAATATATACAAAATGAAAATGAATAAGTCCCACTCCAAATCAATAAAGTGAATAATCACCAGCGCCAAAATCGTGAAATTATATACCAAATAAACGCTGCTGCTCAGTAAACACCAAAAAATAATATAAGACATCAAAACAACGCAGGTATATATATAAATGTACACTCCAGTGAAAAATTAAATAAATAATAGTTAATAAAAAATATATAAAAAATAAAAATGAATAAGTCCCACTCCAAATCAATAAAGTGAATAATAAAAATAAAAAAACATTCATAAAACTCCTTTTTTTTAAAAAAAAAAAAACCTTTTGACCCGCGTTTCCACCGAAATAGTGCTCAAATACCACACCTCACTCACCAAATATTGGTGAAAAAAACGCCTTTTAGGGTTTTTTTTTTTTTGGGGTCCTAGACCCAGTCAATAAGCCTCCAAACACTTAGGGGAGATCCAATAATATCTGGTGTTTGGAGGTTTATTGACTGGGTCTAGGACCCCCCCCAAAAAAAAACTGATGAGAAAAACGAATGTAAAAGGCACAAAAACGGTAAACAGATGGAAAACGGATGTAAACGGATCAAAGACGAAAGTAAATGGATGTAAACGGATGTAAACAGACGATCTATTTTTGCATTTGTAAAGGATGTAAAAAAGTGATGTAAAAACTGACGAGAAACTGATGGGAAAAAAACAAATGTAAATGGATCAAAAATGATAAACAGATGGAAAATGGATGTAAATGGATCAAAATTGAATGAAAATGGATGAAAAACAGATGTAAACAGACAGATGGTGTGTTTTTTTGCATTTGTAAAGGATGTAGAAAACTGATGTAAAAACTGATGAGAAACCAATGAAAAAAATGAATGTAAACAGATCAAAAGTGGTAAACAGATGGAAAATGGATATAAACAGACAGACGATCTGTTTTGGTAAAGGATGTAAAAAACAGACAAGAAACTGATGGAAAAAAAGGAATGTAAACAGAATAAAAACGGATGTAAACAGATAAAAAAAAGAATGTAAATGGATGTAAACGGATGATCCGTTTTTGCATTTGTAAAGGATGTGTAAAAAAAATGATGTAAAAACTAATGAGAAACTAATGAAAAAAACGAATGTAAAAGGCTCAAAAACGGTAAACAGATGGAAAACGGATGTAAAACGGATCAAAGACGAATGTAAATGGATGTAAACGGATGTAAACAGACAGACAATCTATTTTTGCATTTGTAAAAGGATGTAAAAAAGTGATGTAAAAACTGCCGAGAAACTGCAATGGATCAAATGGATGCAATGGTAAATGGATCAAAAATGGTAAACAGATGGAAAATGGATGTAAACAAATCAAAAACGGTAAACAAGTGGAAAATGGATATAAATGGATCAAAATTGAATGAAAATGGATGAAAAAGAGATGTAAACGGATGTAAACAGACGATCCGTTTTTGCATTTGTAAAGGATGTAAAGCAAATGATGTAAAAACTGATGAGAAACTGATGAAAAAAATGAATGTAAAAGGCTCAAAAAATGGTAAACAGAGGGAAAACGGATGTAAACAGACAGACGATCTGTTTTTGCATCTGTAAAGGATGTAAAAAAAATAATGTAATAACTGACGAAAAACTGATGGAAAAAAATGAATGTAAAGTGGTCAAAAATGGTACACAGATGGAAAATGGGTGTAAATGGATCAAAAACGGTAAACAGTTGGAAAATGGATGTAAACAGATCAAAACGGTAAACCGATGGAAAATGGATGTAAATGGATCAAAATTGAATGAAAATGGATGAAAAAAAACAGATGTAAATGGATGTAAACAGACAGATGATCCATTTTTTTCATTGGTAAAGGATGTAAAAAACTGATGTAAAAACTAACGAGAAACTGAAAAGGAATGTAAACGGATCAAAAAACAGATGTAAACGGATGAAATATGGATTCGAAAATGGGGGTAAAAAGTGAAGTTTTGATCTGTTTGGCTCCGATTTTGAAAAAAACCCACAAATGAACTGATGGAAGAAACGGACCGGCGGTGTGAAAGAACCCTAAAGCAGGATTCCTCATCAGTCGGCCCTTCCAGCAATCGCCAGCCTGGCCAGTGTGCCGGTCCGGGCACGCTTCCTGAGCCGTCTCAATAATAGGAGTTCCGGTGGGACTTACCAAGATGTCGGAGTTCTCCCTCCGGAACGGCGGCTGCTCTGCTCGGCCCTCTCGTTGGGGGGGTTGAAGATATAGGTGGAGGTGGCCCCCGTGTTCCTCATGATGGGTAAACTCAACGACCGGAAATCCTTCACCGCCTGCTCCACCTTTAGCTCATCCCCCGGTTTGGCTGCAAAGACAGAAAACACAAATGATTGGATGACGGAGGATCGCACAGCAGGATGACGTCATATCCACGGGCGGACTGACCATTTGGAAACTCAGGCACTGCCCGATGGCCCAGGGTCAGTAGGGGGCCCCATGAGATGCCCCTGGTAACTTTTTCATAGGTTTTTTTGAGTTTGGGCAAGGACACGGGGGCCCCATGATCCCCTATTGCCCGGGGGCCCCATGAGTTGTCAGTCCGCCCCTAGTCGTATCCATGAGCTCAGGGAATACGAACAAACATCAAGTTATGTATTTAGGATCGACCATTAAAGCAGAACTCCGGGCAAATACAGACACGGGACTGCAGCTCTGTCATCACTTGGGGCTCATTCACACCGCAATGCATCCGCTACCGCAGCACGCTGCATCTCCAGCCAATCTGTTAGCTTGGAGTAGGGGAGGGGAGAGAAGCAGGGGCGTGCCCGGCCATCCCAGGCTATGGGGCTGTGTGTTTCTATTGATGCACGAAGTGCAGGGAGACACCACAGTAGTCCCTACATGCAAGGGTGACACCATAGGATGCTTGGAAAGTGCAGGCTGTGGTCAGTCTGTTAGCATGATGTCCTCCCAGACGCGTCCCTCACACGCCCCCGGCGCTCTCTGTGAATGCTGGGTCCTTTGGACACAGCTGATCACATGACATGGTAAAAGGCCAATCAGAGTGGCCTTTTACCATGTGATCAGCTGTGTCCAATCACAAGAGATCACTGTGTAAATACACTTGCTGGTTATTGGCAGCATTTTCCTCACTTTTTTCACATAGTCACAGTGTGAGGAAAGCACTGCTGATAACCTGCAACTGTCAAAGGAGACATCTGCACTGATAATCAGGGCCACCTCAAAAGTGCCCAACAGTGCTGCCAATTTATGCCCATCAGTGTCCAACAGTGCTGCCAATTTATGCCCATCAATGTCCAACAGTGCTGCCAATTTATGCCCATCAGTGCCGCCAATTTATGCCCATCAGTGTCCAACAATTTATGCCCATCAGATCTTCCATTCTAGATCTCCCCATCCTGGCATCTCCAAGTTCCCTTATCCTGTCCTCCTAGATCTTCCCATCCTCACACCTCCATGAGTCTTCATCTTGTCCCCTCTCTAGATCTCCCCATCCTGGCATCTCCAAGTTCCCTCATCCTGTCATTCCTCTAGATCTTCCATCCTGTCCTCCTAGATCTTCCCAACCTCACACCTCCATGAGTCTTCATCTTGTCACCCATCTAGATCTCCCCATCCTGGCATCTCCAAGTTCCCTCATCCTGTCATTCCTCTAGATCAATGGTTCTTAACCTGGGTTCGATCGAACCCCAGGGGTTCGGGTGAGTCAGTCTCGCGGGTTCGGCAGAGGTGAAGACCCACACCCGACTCATATGATTCGTGATGACATGCCCCGCTTGTCCATCATTGGCTGCAGGTGGTCACGCAACATCGCTTAGCCCAGTGGTCGGCAAGCCGCGGCTCGCGAGCCACATGCGGCTCTTTACACGCTTTAATGCGGCTCTTGTGTGCCGGGCGCCCGCTCCCCTCCCTCCTCTCTGGCGGCAGGGACTCTGCAGCGTGATCCAAAAAAAAAAAAACAGCCAGGGCAGCGCGCTCAAATGCAATAATTGGCCAGTCTCGCTGCCACTCACATCCTGATAGCCAGTGATTGGCTGTCAGGATGTGTGTAGGCGGGGCAGCGTGACGAACGTGAGAGGAGCTAGGCTCCTCTCACAGTCCGCCCTGAAGACCGGAACGGCGTGGGAATACGGCGAGAGGAACGCGCGGAGCAAAGGTAAGTGAATTGACACAGGGGGGGCTTGGCTTACTACTTGCTACTTACTTACTACTACTATATAAGGGATGAATTAATATGGGGGATGAATTACTATATGGGGGATGAATTACTATAGGGGGATGAATTACTATATGGGGGATGAATTACTATATGGGGGATGAATTACTATATGGGGGATGAATTACTATATGGGGGATGAATTACTATGGGGGATGAATTACTATATGGGGGATGAATTACTATATGGGGGATGAATTACTATGGGGGATGAATTACTATATGGGGGATGAATTACTATATGGAGGATGTATTACTATGGGGGATGAATTACTATATGGGGGATGAATTACTATATGGGGGATGAATTACTATATGGGAGATGTATTACTATGGGGGATGAATTACTATATGGGGGATGAATTACTATGGGGGATGAATTACTATATGGGGGATGAATTACTATATGGGGGATGAATTACTATGGGGGATGAATTACTATATGGGGGATGAATTACTATGGGGGATGAATTACTATATGGGGGATGTATTACTATATGGGGGATGAATTACTATAGGGGGGATGAATTACTATATGGGGGATGAATTACTATATGGGGGATGAATTACTATATGGGGGATGAATTACTATGGGGGATGAATTACTATATGGGGGATGAATTACTATGAGGGATGAATTACTATGGGGGATGAATTACTATATGGGGGATGAATTACTATAGGGGGGATGAATTACTATGGGGGATGAATTACTATATGGGGGATGCATTACTATATGGGGGATGAATTACTATGGGGGATGAATTACTATGGGGGATGAATTACTACGGGGGATGAATTACTATATGGGGGATGAATTACTATATGGGGGATGAATTACTATGGGGGATGAATTACTATATGGGGGATGAATTACTATAGGGGGGATGAATTACTATATGGGGGATGTATTACTATGGGGGATGAATTACTATATGGGGGATGAATTACTATGGGGGATGAATTACTATATGGGGGATGAATTACTATATGGGGGATGAATTACTATGGGGATGAATTACTATGGGGGATGAATTACTATATGGGGGGATGAATTACTATGGGGGATGAATTACTATATGGGGGATGTATTACTATGGGGGATGAATTACTATATGGGGGATGAATTACTATATGGGGGATGAATTACTATGGGGGATGAATTACTATATGGGGGGATGAATTACTATATGGGGGATGAATTACTATATGGGGGATGAATTACTATATGGGGGATGAATTACTATGGGGGATGAATTACTATATGGGAGATGAATTACTATATGGGGGATGAATTACTATGGGGGATGAATTACTATATGGGGGATGAATTACTATATGGGGGATGAATTACTATAGGGGGGATGAATTACTATGGGGGATGAATTACTATATGGGGGATGCATTACTATATGGGGGATGAATTACTATGGGGGATGAATTACTATATGGGGGATGAATTACTATGGGGGATGAATTACTACGGGGGATGAATTACTATATGGGGGATGAATTACTATATGGGGGATGAATTACTATATGGGGGATGAATTACTATAAAACAGTGGTTCTTAACCTGGATTATGTTTTTGTTTTTGTGTGAAAATCATGTTTTAATGGTTTTGTTCTTTGTTCTTAACGGTTTTGTTCATTTTGTGCACCTATGTATAAATATATACCTATGTTTTGAATTTTAAAAATCATATTTTATTTTTCCAATTAAGAAGGGTTCGGTGAATGCGCATATGAAACTGGTGGGGTTCAGTACCTCCAACAAGGTTAAGAACCACTGCTCTAGATCTTCCATCCTGTCCTCCTAGATCTTCCCATCCTCACACCTCCATGAGTCTTCATCTTGTCACCCCTCTAGATCTCCCCATCCTGGCATCTCCAAGTTCCCTCATCCTGTCAACTCTTTAGATCTTCTCATCCTCTCCACCTAGACCTTCACTTCCTGGCCAAGATCTTCTATCCTGTTATCGCTCTATGTCTTCCAATCCAACATCCTCCTAGATTCCCCCAACGTTATTCTTGTTCCTCTTGAAATTGGACCTTTTTCTCTTTATCCATGCGGTCATTAACCATCCCGTGTCTTATTTTGTGCAGCTGAGGAAGGAGCAGAAGTGTCGCCTGTTATATGGGGGGAACTTTATGACTCGGTTGGACGATTTTCGAAATCATTGATGGCACCGCCAGATTACTGAGCGAACGATGGATGAAAAATCATTTGGAATTCGAACCATGTATGGCCTGCATTACGGTGAAGTTGCACGATTTCACAGTCGAGGGGGAACACGCCGATTTCAGATGCGATTTGCAAGACATCGAACGTCGATATCTATGCAAATCGCACCAAAAGTAGTGAATTCGCTGCTTTAGAAATCGGTTCGGCTCCGACCAAGTCGGAAGCGCGCCGATATGACCGCTGTTACTGCGGACAATACGGCGCGATGCGGCGTGCGATTTGCAAGTCGCTGGGCATGCAAATTGCATGCCAACTCGCATCCAAGTTATGCAGGCCATAGATGGGCCATTTATCGGCAGAATTTTTCGTCCGCACGAAAAATCGGCTGATATTCACACCGTTAGTGGGGCCAGCCGTCGGCCGTTTTTCGCGGATCTTCGCAGATTTATTTTTATCGATCATGCTGGAAAATCCACGAAAAACGGCTGTTCGTGGACATGGGTGGCAGCATCGGCAACGGGGCCAACCGATTTTTCAATTCAGCCGACAAACGGCCCGTCTATGGCCAGCCTAAAAATCGATGAAGTGAATCCCGCCATGCTCCGGATAGCTTTCTTTGCTTCTCTCGGATGAGTGCGACCGAACAGCTCGCTCATCCTTCCCCGCCATATGTGCGCGGGCGAGAGCGCGGCCCGGGAACAGACGCGGAGCGCGATGACGTCACCGCCACCTGCTTATTAATTACGTAACGGCCAATCTGCTATTCAAATCTGATATAACGGAGGAGTGGGGGAGGGGGCGCCGAGCCGGCCAGGGACGAGTCGTTCAAGTGTTCCTTCCTCCATCGAACGTCTGCTGAGATTCGGGGTTTTCGGTCGCGCGGCACTCAATGTTGTGCGTTTTTTAAAAATCACGCATCGTATGTTCCCGCCAGCATGGCTTC